GTTTTGTTATATGACGCGACGAAATAAAGCTCGTCTTTGTTGTTTTTATCTTTATAATCTTTTGTTAGCTTATCATATGCTTTATGTATCACATGTATCACATGTATCACATTACCATATTTTTCCGCCTGTGTAACGATCCTGATGTCACGGGATGCAGAAAAATACTAGATCTGTCCTACCGTACAATCCTGCAACAACGCATGAATTGTTCTACGCTATGACACAGTCATACACAGTGTCAGACTGTACCCTTATACAGTGTCATTACAGCTGTGTCATAGACTGCTGGGTTGTGTCATTAACTATGTCATTAACTGTGTCATTAACTGTGTCATACATTGTGTAATGCTGTCATGAGATTTATATCTTTATCAGCTGATTGTAGATCTACTACAACAGTATAAGTCGTTTTAACAGTTTTAGTTTATCGATTTTATCTTTTATTGGGATTGGTCGGTTGATCTTTTAACCATAACGATGATAGTAGATAGAATTTTACCTGTTTGTTACACTTGTTACGTACAATGGTAAGACATATTATTAATTATAAAGATTAGTTATAATAATTATTATAAAATTTTGTATATAGTTTTAAAGTTTTATAGTCATTATTCGTTATAGTTATTATAAATAGCACAGGGGCAATATAGGTTTATAAACGGCACATAAATCGCATGAGTCGCATAAGTCGCATAAGTCACAGATAAAACATAGGAAATCAAAGCCACGCGATACATGAACACGTTAGTAGTACGATTTAACTTAGTCGCGCCAAATCTCCTAAATTGTTAAACCAAAATCTTACCGGCGAATCGCGAACTCCAAAGGGAATCACCTCCTCCCTTTTTCTAAATTTGAAATTAGTCAAAAATAATAATAAAAAATATATAGAGTGACAAAGAAATTTCTACATTTGGGGGTTTTTTTTTTTTCAAGAAAAAAAATTTTTTTTTCATATAGTCTCATGATTAGTAATTGTATTACGTTATGCATATTCAAAGTAAATGTATCGAAAAAACTATTCTTGTTTCATCATCCATTATCCATATATATATATATATATATATTATTCATTCATTTCTTTTAAATTCTTTTCTTTACAAAATCATACAATCAATAAGATAATAGATAATCGTCATTAAAAAGAATAAGTTATTAACGGTTATCGATCGAAAAGAAAAAAAAGAGACAATAAAAGGTTTTTTTACTTGTCTTTTTTACTGCATTATATACCAACATATCAGATATATACTATGTATATTTAATTGTCTTTGTTTTTTAGAATTCTGACATCCGCACATGGAATGTTTATCAAAAAAAAAAAAAATTCCTTTACAAATGAAAAAAAAATACTTGGTCATACCTCATGATCAGGATTAATTTAATCATCATATCTGACTGGTACAATTTTGATAAACAAAGTAAAATGTACGCACATATTCAATGACCGCGTGATTTTATATTATATGATGTGAATTCCTATTATTGTCATTACTACCTATTTTACATATTATTACATACTATATTTTACGATATTTTAGATTACTATATAAATCGATATATCTATATCATATACTATTTAACTATTACGTATACGTACTATGTATACTGTATACTGCACTATATATGTATATTTATTGTATTTAACTACCTTAACTACCCCACTATTATATTACCCCACTATTCAACTTTTTTAACTGGTAATCGAACTGAATCGGAAAAATCGATCGATCATTTATCATGACATCAGTTGGTTGTTTAATGAATGAAATAAAGAGAATTTTTTTTTTCAATCAATTTTTTTATCATTCCGGGGTTGATCAAAAAGATTATTACTTAGTACACGTGTTAACTTTTTGGAATATACTGCTGTACTGTTATATATATTTAGCATATCGACAATATCAAAATATCAAAATATAAAAATATCAAAATATCAAAATATCAAAATCGTCAAATGATACACAGTATTAAATTTATATATATACGTATATCTATTAAATACAATAGAAAAGGAAAATATTAGATTTACGGTATAGATTATAGATTATTAATACTTTTTTAAACAATATAAAAATTTCATCTTTATCCTAAAATTATGTCTCATAAAAAATTATCCGAAAAATACCAAATATGGTTTCCTGGTATGTTTTTTAATAAAGGAAATTTATTTAAAACCAAATGTTTTTTTTTTTAGCGATCATTATCACTAACTGTTTAGTAACTGTTTAGTAACTGTTTAGAAACTGTTTAGATTTAAAAATAAACGGGATGGAATACAGTAATAAAAGTACTTTCTTTCTTTTATTGTCTAGAGTTTTTTTTATATCTGACACATCAAAAAAATGTCTTTTTTTTAATTTGAGCACAAGATCATGAAAAATAAGCCTGAACGTAAATTTTATTCATGAAAATCTTTGAAGTGCGTGACCTTATAGATGTAGGTATTTTTAGTATTTTAGTGGTGCCTTTTGATTTTTGATTATCAAACTAGAAAATTGTGTAATGTCCGAAACTAACAATGAAACAGTAAACAATATATTACTTGCATACATATATATACATATATATATATATTTCTATATATATATTTCTATATATATTTGAATATATATATATACTCGATATATATACGTTATAAATACAGTAATATATATATATAAAAAACAGATAATATACTGCAATCAATCTAAGCTACGATGTCTTTCCAAGTATATGCTCGTATATGCTTGAAATTGTAACATTTTTTCATAATTTTCAATGTTTTTCAATAATTTTTATCGTTAGAAGGATTTAAAAATGATTATTTTTGAATGGTTCAGAATGGTATTAATTCTAGGCACGTGATGCGTATTGATATATAACATAATCGCTGTATACAGTGATAATAATGTAAAAGCTGTATAAAAAAAAATTTTTTTTATTTTATATATAAATTATTGTTTGTTTTTTTTATTATTCTAAAAGAAAAAAAATTTTTTATTTTAATAATTATTTTATTCAGTTACTCGAAATCATATGCTCTACTTGATTGCATACAAATAAATACGCATCTTTTGAGGCCATATCGATATAGATAAAAAAACGAATTTCACTATATAATATAAAAAAAAAATTTATTTTTTTTTTAATATATTCGTATACATTTTATTTTAATGTAACGAATATATTTTATTATCAGTATCATATATAAACTGGAACAAAATCTCTTCTTGAAAGAATAAAAAAACTTTACTATTACTTTTTACCATTTTAATAATTTTCACCGACGACCGTCAAAACAAAAATTTTGGTTTTCTTCGTTAACTTCTTTTCGAAGTCCCTTTCTTTTTATTACCTTTCGAACTTTTCTTTTCTTTTCTTACGGCGGTAACTTTTTTAAAAATCACGACAAAAAAAAAAATTTTTCTTTATATAAAAAATACTATACAAGATGACTTGTTCTTCTCGTTGTTATGATGACTCGGATGCTACTGATTATAGTTATCAAAACTCTGATACCGATATGCAACCTCATTATAACGATGAGGTTGTTAGTAATCAAGGGAATGGTAAAACTTATAAACCTTTACCCTCCAACTGTACTGGTAATTATTTATTCAATAAATAAATATATATTCAAATAATTTTTTACATTATTAATTATTATTATTTATTATTATATGATAATTATAATTAATATAAATTCATTTTATTATTATTTTAGACTTTTTTGCAGAAAGTTTATGTGGAATATTAGAACTTCCAACTCATCCTAAACGAATCTTTGAAGATTTTGTTCCGCTACCCGAACTATTACTTTTTATTCAAAAAGTTACCACTAAAGCTCGAATCGATGTTCGAACAATTATAATAGCGTTGATTCTAGTTTTAAGATTTAAGAAAAAGATACAAAATAAGTTACCAAAAAATAAAATACAAGGAGAATATGGTAATTATTTTTAACGTTGTTTTTCTTTTTTTCATTGTCCATTATTATTTTTTTTCTTTTTGGTGGTATCATATGACACATCTTCAAGTCTCGTGGCTACTTTTTGATAGTCCCGATGATTCCGATGGCTCAGATAGTCCGATAAAAATTCGTGGATCTTTTAGTTCAACGAATTTCAACGAATATCTGTTACACATTTATCATTTACCTCTTCGCGTCTTCTGACTGGTCACATTTTTTTTGCATGTAATCATGTGAACATCTATATATTCACATATTATGAAATATTTTTATTGGATCAAAAAACTTTTGTCATGCGGAGTCTTTATATGCACGCCGCAAACACTAAACTAAATATAGTATAGTACCGGAATTAGGAAATAGAATAGTATTAGAATATTAGTATATTATATCATACTTTAATTATTATATATATAATATATATATATTATAATATCATATCATTATTAATCATTATTATTATTTTTTTTTTGATTATTTAATTTTATAGGAACATGCCATAAAATATTTCTATCCGCTATTATTGTTGCTTTAAAGTTCTCATTTGGAACATTTCCTTATAATTCAACTTCACCATCTACCTCAGAAGAAGAATTACCTTTACCAAAATCACCATGTGAATTACCTATTAATGAGCAAGAAAATTTATCAGAAACAAATAATCCAATGATACTTTCAACAACACCTTCATCAGTTTCATCATCCGATTATGATGAAATAGCTTCACAACAATTTAACCATCATGAACATTCTTTAAATTCAATAAATCAAAAAATTGCTGAAAGTTCTGGAATTTTTTCGATAAATGAAATTAATAAGGCGGAAAAATCATTCCTTAAAGTCTTGGGAAAATTTCAAGTTAGTGATGAAAATGTTCGGGATTTCATAGAGAGTAACAGACAAGCTTTGGGAATATGTTGAATTTTAATGAATCTTGATCTTGGGTATTGGTGTTATGCATTATAATGGTTTTTGGTAATAGCTGGTTTTTAAGCTATTTTTTTTTTTAAAAATATATATAATATATAACCTCCTTCCCTCAGTACCAAAATTTTGTATCATATTCTTTTACATTTTTTTTTTTTACGTAATAGAAGGCAACATTTTATTTCTTTTTTTTTTTTATTTTTTTATTTTCTCATCGGTGATAATATTTTTACTATATTATTCTTTAATTGTGGGATACCAAAGAGTGAATCTGTATTTCTTGTACTTTCTGTACTTTTCTATACTTTACTATACTTTACTATACTTTCTATACTTTCTATACTTCCCACGGATTTTTTTTTTCTATAACCACTATTTGCTTGCTGTTAGGTAAATCATTAATACGCAATACAAACCTAAAATTAATAACATCATCACTCACGTTAATATTTCACCAGATTTCCTTCTTTCTTCAATCTATACACTTTTTTTTTCATTCTTTGTAAATATTTTTATAATAATCAGTTGCCAAATATGTTTTGGTCGAGGGTTTTATAAATGTGGTTATATATATTCGAGTTGCCTTCACAATTTAATTCAAATAATTCAAATTTAAATCTAAATCAAATTTAAATTCACAATGTGCATTTTGTATTTTTGATATCTTTTTTTTTCTCTCTCTCTCTCTCTTGTGTAAAGACTATCATATTTGCATGACGAATATAAAAAAAAAACCATTTATTTTGATTTTTAATTTTATTCAAAAGATGTTTGCGTCGAAAAAAAAGATTTTAATATTATTCAAAAAAGATGTTTTAAGTTGATTAAAAAAAAAAAATTTATAATAATAATAGTAATTAATAATAATAATAAAGACTTCAAAAAAAAAAACATTCGAATTCGATAATTATATCAATTATTCATTCATTTTGGTTTGTTCACTTTATTCGATCGCTAACGTACATTTTAAGACATGTGTGTGAGAATTATCGCGAACATACATTTTAAGACATGTGTGTGAGAATTTTTGCGATAGTAAAAAGTTCTAATGGCATGCATCATCACAGTGAAGTTCAAGTAAAGTTCATGTAATGTTCATGTAAAGTTCAAGTGAAGTCAAGTGAGGTTTAATAGCTTCTATACAACAATACAGATAACGGGAACGTTACTCTGAGCTGGGGAACTATCATTATGGATTATCTTGGTAATAGTCATGGGAGCGGACAGCGTAAATTAATCCGTGAATCCTTGTCAATGTCATCTATTACCCAGGCCATAAAAAATTCCCACACCTTTTGGCAATGCACTGAACTAAAGACACCTGATGTACTGTATTTAGAGAAAAACGATACCGTCTATAACGTCTATAACGTTTGTAGTGTATACGTATAATGTCTAGCGTACTATAACTGATAATGTCCAAATGTC